GATGTTGTGAGGTGTCCACTAGCCGGTTCTTGTGAGGACGATGAAAGTGGAAGGTTTGAGGTGTCCACTAGCCATCTGTGTAAGGATGGGAAAACGTGGAGATTGAATGGTAAATTGTGTGTTGTGTAATAATTTCTAAACCAATGGAAATTCATGGGCATTAATAAAGGTCATGCATATTTAAACCAAATGTTTGTATACTTTGTTAAAGTTATTCTCTATTGGGAAATTACTTATTCCTATTTACTAATATTTCAGGAAATGAAGAGTCCCACAACCATCAATGAAGAAGAAGAAAATGACTACCTCTTTTAAAAAATCTAAATTTTTGTGAACTTGAAATTGTAATGTAATTATGAACTCCTTTTCTACTTTTATTTTGAATTTTGAATTTTTGTATTAAATGTCACAATGTAATTAGTAACTTAGAGGACAATGTAATTGTTTTGCAATCTTCTCTAGCTCACTGAATCAAGATAAGTATTTTGTAATTTTGTGAACAAAATCTGCAGTTCAATGAGAAAGATAAGCATTTGCATGGGGTTATGTCATGTGTTTATGTGGAGAATGTTCTTTTAATTGTTTATTGGGAATTATATGTGTGGGGTGTTACACGCGTTGATGAGTTAATCTTGATTGTCAAATGTTAAATATTTGGGGATGTTGCATGTTAATTAATTGGCAACACAGGTTCAAGTAAGGAAATTTGATACGCTTTGAAGGGGGAAAAGAAAAAAAAGAAGAAGCTGACCTTGGCTACAAACGATATCTTCAGCTCTAGAATCGAAATCCCTAATTACAGAAGAGAGCATAGAAGAGAGGCCCTTGGCCACAGAAGAAGAAGAAGAAGAAGAAGAAGAAGAAGAAGAAGAATTGTGAAATAATAATTCAATTATATGCAAATAAATTTAATTTACCAAAAAGGTAAATAATAGAGGTCCTCTTCATTTGAGAAACTTGTTTTTTGTCCACCATGAGAGAGAATGTGTGTGATCGATGGGGCTTTTCATTAGGTTTTTGTCTTAACTTTTAGGGTTTTGGGAGATAATGATTTTTAGGCGTATGGGGGTGTGCATTTTAGCAATTGTGAAATTTTCGTAAGGATAAATTTTGATATAATTTTGGGAGAAAAAAATAAATTTTAAGAATTTTAAAATTTATAAATAAAGGTCTAAAGAAATAGAGTTCCAAAATAATAAATAAGATGTTAATAACATCACTTTTCATAACCTCTATTGTAAGAATTGAAGAAGACACCAAAATCACACAAGGATTATTCCTTAAAATGGATGGATATGATCAAATGAAATAATAATTTAGGGGTTAAACGTGGATGACATAATTTACATCTGATAAGGTTATTTGGTATAATTTATTTGTGCTAGTAATAATGTTTTGGTAAATTATAAATATATTATTTGAGATTTGTTTAAAATACGGATTGGTTCCGTGATTCTACATCTCACCCTCTCAAGTTTCTAATTAAATAACAAATGCTCTATTTTATTAAAAAATTATTAAGTTAATTAATTATTTTTAATGATGTCATTAATATATTTAAATTAATAATTCATATAATTTTATTATTGTATAAGAAAACATTTAAGAATTTTATTTTTCTATAAATTCTGTTAAATTAAAAATATTTGAGAAAATGAGGTAATTGCAATTCCAAACCTATAGGGGTAATTCTGCATTTTTTTTTTAATTCTAGAAATTTGTGCAAGACTGTTTAATAAGTTGATTTTTAGCCTATGTTTGGGAGGTGGATTTTAGAGTTTTTTTTGGCTAAAATAACCACAAAAAATAAAATTGACTTTTTGGCTCAATAAGACAAAACATCACATCCAATCCATAATCATTATATTCTTTCTCTCACAAAAAAATAAAAAGAGCCAAAAAATTCAAAAACCCTTCTCAAATTAGATTTTTTAGTCCCAAGTTAAAATAGTCAAAAAAATTAAAAAGTTAAGAAGTCAACCCACTTTCCAAACAAAATCCAAATAAGGTTACTTTTAAAAGCTAGTGAGAAATACTTTTAGGAGTTGTTTAGAGTGATTTATTTAGATTATCTTTTTATCATTTTCAGAATAAATAAATAAATAAAAGAGGTCTTTTTTTAATATTATTTTCGAATGCGACAAAGGGAGGTGCAACTGATCATTTCTACGTTTACCAACTTGGGACATTGGTGATTAGTTTCCTCTCTCTCTCTCTCTCTCTCTCTCTCTCTCAAACCAGTGTGACTGCTGAAATTTGCTTGGGTGAGGGCTCTATACCTGCGGTGAATTTTGCTTCCAGTTTGTACGCTTTTTCTGATCTTCCTCTTCATATTCCAGACCAAGCAAGGTAACTCAACTTGAAAACAGAGCTTTCATTTACTTTCTCACCTCCATTTCCCTTTTATTCCTCCTGTACTCTTTTGCTTTCATTCTTGCCGTCTCCTTTTGATACTTGTACTCCCTTTGCTTCTTCGCTTTCATTCTTGTTGTTTTTTTTGGCTTTTTCATCGTGTGTTTCCTTTTAATTTCTTAAGAAAAAAAAAAGTCCAGAAAAAAGCCCTTTTGATTCTTGTACTGTCTTTGCTTCTTTGCTTTCAGTCTTGCTGTCTCCTTTTGATTCTTGTACTATCTTTGCTTTCGTTCTTCTTGTTTTTTTTTGGCTTTTTCATCTTGTGTTTCCTTATAATTTCTTAAGAAGAAAAAAAAAAGAAAGAAAAAAAGTCAAGAAAAAAGCCCAAAAATTAAAAAGAGAAAAAAAGTGAGAAATGGCTGAAGGAGTTGGTCTCTCCTTCTTGGGGAAAGCTCTGGGGGGAATTGGAGAGTACTTGGTTGCTCCGATCGGCAGACAGTTTGGTTATCTGTTTTGCTTCAACACCAACATTCAAAATCTTGAGACTCAATTGGACAGCCTAAAAGTGACAAGAGAAGGGGTTCAACTAGGGGTGGATGAAACACGCAACAATGTCAGAACCGTTGGACCTCATCTTGAGGCATGGCTGACTAAAGCAAATGACAACAAAGCAGAGGCAGAGACAATTATTAAAGACAAGGCCCAAGTTCAAAAGGGGTGTTTCAATGGGTGGTGTCCAAATCTCAAGTTGCGTTACTCACTGGGCAGGAAAGCTGTGAAAAAAACACAGGAACTTGCTCTTCTCCATGCTGAGGGTAGCAACTACATTCAGTCGTCCTACAATCCACCACCACCAAGCATAGAACCTATGCCTACAACAACAAAATTCCAGGGGTTTGATTCTCGAATTCTGGTCATGAACGAGATCATTGAGGCTTTGAAAGATGATGGGATCCACTTGATTGGGATATGCGGGATGGGCGGAATGGGCAAGACAACAATGGCAAAAGAAGTTGCAAACAGAACCAAATTGAAGAAAAACATTATCAACTAATTTAGTATTTCTGTTTAGTATCTCTTTCCATATATTTCTGTTTAGTATCTCTTTCCATTCATGAACCAAATTGAAGAAAAGCATTATCAACTAATTTTATACAAAACCCCCAAATGGAGGGAGTGTGATAATGACACTTTTAGATGTTAACTAAACATCTACTTCTTATGCAAAGGACTAAAGCGAGGAACCACAAAACCCATACAGACATTCTATAAAATAAGTTAGTTTGCCTACCATTGATGTGGCTGATGTTTGGATGCATAGAAATAAGGCAATCCTTTTTGATGAAATATAGTTTAACTCCTTTTTGAGGAAGCAAATCCAACTATAATGGTTTAGAATGAACCTGAGTTTGTCATATCTACTTCTTCTTCTTCTTCTTCTTTTCGTCATATCTACTTCTTCTTCTTCTTCTTTTCTTTCTTTGATATGTGAACCTGCATTTGATAAGAACAAATAACATGAATAAAATGTCATATGAAAATTTCATAATTTACTTTTACTCACTTCCTCGGACGAACGATGACAATTAAATGATGAGGTGTATGCATGGGATTGTTGTTGTGAATACACATGTGTAGCAGCTGGTGCAACAGGCCCACCCATGGCCTGTTGAGACTCCAATTGCTCTATTCGGGCTTGTTGAGCTTGGATTGTGCTTTGCATCTCCATTTGTACTTTCTGTTGATTAAGCATAGCATCCATCATCTCCTTCATTTGCATCTCCATTTGTGCTTTATATTGGTTAAGTTGCTCTTGGACTTGCGTTTGGATGATACGAGTTTGTTCTTGCGATTGCCTATATCCGCCTCCAAAGACATCTGTCGGGGAAGGACCCAATCCATATGTTCGAACACGACCAGGTCACTCAGGCCCTAGAACCTGTGTGATAATTTCTTCATCTGTAGCATTGGATTGCGCCCCAAGGTCCTTCATTTGTGTCTACAATTGTTAATTAGTAATTAGCCACCAATAAAATTGTTCATAACTAGTGCCGTTAAATGTAACCTGCTTCCATTGGGCCATATGAATTCAATAACATCATCAATCCAGATTCAAAATTGTTTCATTGACACTTCCACTTCATATGCTCAAATTCAAAATTCATAAAAATATAGTCCTTGACTTGTAGATTTGGCAGCAAAAACAAGTAAATGGAATCAAACAAGAAGCTTTCACTAAATTATAGATTTAATGTTATTATAGATTTATAATTTATAAATTAGACCTAATCATTAAATCTATAAATTATAGTATTCATAGATAATCTATAATCTATGAATACCTAATCAATTAGCTAACGAAGTACTAAGTAAGGCAGATTATGTAGAATCTGTGTTTGAGGCTGTCAACAAACATAGAATCAGTGTTTGAATCTGTGTTTGAATCTGCAGAATTAATTGGTTGGTGAGCTCCCATTTCAAGGTGATTCTGTAGAATCTGTGTTTGAGGCTGTCAACAAGGTGAAACTTGATTTTTGCAGTGGAGTATGGGAATCAGTACCCCAAGCTGCTTGTGATCTAATTGCTCATACACTTACAAGGGATGTTTCAGCGAGGTTCAATGCTGACGAAGTACTAAGTAAGCCTCAATATACTCGTCCTAAACAATTGGATGGTGATTAAGCCATGTGAATTTTTTAATATTTTCACCTTACTTTCTCCCTCCATATCACTTAGAGATCTAGTAATCCAAAGGAATCGAGAAATTCAGCTTGGTTGATGGTGGGGTTGTTGCGAACAATCCTGTAATGCTTTCAATAGAAGAGGTGTCAAGAAGATGAATAAAGGTCAACATCTTCTCAAGCCCAAACAATATTGGATTTTAACAGTTTTTTTGTTTTCTTCTTGGCTATCATTAAGGAAGGATAAAAAATTTGAAGTCAAAGATGGCAAAACATGGGGATTGGTCCTTTGGTTTATGGGCCAAAGAAGACCACCCCTTAATTAATGTTTTCTAGACTGCAATGGAAGCTATCTTTGACGTATACAACTTTTTTTTTTCAAAGGCTCTTATTTCCCGGCAACTATCTCCAAATCTAGTATGAAAACTTAAAATATGATGAGGCCGTGATGGATAACTCAAACAAAGAAAACCTTGACAAGCTTGAGAAGGTTGAGAATACGCTCTTGGGCCTGTACATTTCTCAAGTTCACTCGGAAATTGGTTTGTATGAACAACATAAAGAGAAGGGAAAAAATTCTGAAGCACTAATTGTGTTTGTCAAAAGGTTATTAGATGAAAGGAAACTCCACCAAGCTCATCCCTCCCCGTAGTTGATAGTTTGATACCATTCATAGTTGATAAGAATGTAAAACTTGTATGCTCAATGCTTTATAATTGTGATACCTATGCTTGGGTATAAAAAGAAACTAACTGTTACTCTATACTTGATTTGTTGGTGATGGGCATCGAAGTGACCAGATTCAACACGGCTCGAGTATAAGCGCTCGGCTTGGATGAGGTGTGAGCCGAGTCACTGCTCAGAAGAATGCTTGGCCATTGCGGCCAAACAACTAACTGAACACCAAAGCGAGGGAAGGGTAACTCCTCTCCCTAAAATCACGCATATGATCCCTCACCCCTTAATTTGAGCCATGAGATTGGCTATTCACTAAAATCCAGCAATTGTTACCCCTAACTAACTACATTCTTCGACATCCAAAATTCAATACACATTTCAACAGTCTCATACACTTTTATATATTTCTATACATTTTTCACACATTATACACATATTCATGTTAACCACTCCCAATACGCAGTGGTTATTCATAAAATTAAAAAGGCTTATAAATCAAGAATCTTAAAGATAGATAGATAGAGAGAGAGAGAGAGAGAGAGAGAGAGAGAAAATGCCGTGGATGTGGATGTTGACATTGTACATCATGGTAATCTGACAGTGCATATTAATGTGCTATGGAACCTAAGCTGGAAGATCACAAGAAGAAAATCCATGTCACCAAAACTACATATCAGTGACAATTCTTTGAATCAAGCAAATTTTGATTACATTTCTTTGAATCACCAAGGCCCAACTTTCCCTAGGATTCACCAAATTAAATTAATCTTCCTTTCTCTGCAAGAGATTTACCACAAGTGACAATTCTTTTATTTTGGTGCGATGTACAATCAATAATTTCAATATGCAAAGGATTTATGCTAATGCTTGATGACCAAAAGATTCCAATTATTCAAGGAAACAACAAAATGAAGAAACAAAACAAAGTGGCAACTATAAAATATGAAACAAATAAAATAAATAATAACAAATTAAGATTAAAATTGATATGTAAAATGAAATAATTCTTTTACCTTTACTTCTCTCCAAATTCTCTCTTTGCTTTCCTTATGTACATGGTTCCAAGTTCTATAAGTGAGGGGCATAAGGTTCCCATCTTGAGCTAAAACACCCAAATGAGAAGCCAAGGGTGTATACCCGTCAACCACTTGGTTCAACTCATTAGGCACAATATGTAAAATGCCACCACTTGGGTTCCAATCACTACCATGCATAAGTGTTGGGCCTCTCGAACTATGACCTACTCATCCAAATATCAATATCAAGTTAGAAGCTACTAGAAAGAATGATAATACAAGAATTGAGCAGTTAATGGAGCAAATGGAGTAGTGTCACTTAGTTTTAAAAAAAGAAATGTAAAACATCAAAAGAAAAAAGAACATCAACAGAGAAATCTAATGGAGTAATTCAATTGAATAAAATAATTCATACTAGTAGTAGTGTCATGTGTCGAACCAGTACTCGATGATGTACTAGGCAAGCTACTTGGAGGATACCATGACATGGGTGGATCAGGTATGATACGTGTACTTTCCTCTGAACTCTCATCTACACTCCCACTATAAGAACTCTCATAATTTGCAGAGGCTGAATGTTGCTTCTGCCTAGAGCATCGTCGATCTGTCATGCTAGTTTACAGAAGACCACAAGCATACGTGTAGAATTTTATGGGTTAGCAATGAATAAAAAGTCCAAAATATTAAAAAATTTCTCTACAAATTTAAATTTTAAACACAATCTTTATATAACAGATATGATCCTTCTCAAGGACATAAAAGGTTGTCTCAAGGACAATCATGTTGAAAAGCAAACAAAGGATGCATTTTAAAAGCAAAGGTTTCATTAACATGAATATCTATGCTAAAAGCACAAATGTAACAATGAGTATGAAACAAAATTACAATATCATATCATTTCTTCATCATCTTTAGATTGTGTTTGTGTCGATATCCCAAGAGGTCCAATAGTTTCATCAATAGTTGTTCCAACTTCACCTTGCCTAACACAATTTATGTCCTCTTCACAAGCAAATGAAGTTGCATCTAACTATTGGTCGCCAAATCCTTCCACTTCATTGTGATGTTCTCCATCATTAATTGGTTGTTCTCCACACACCTCACAAAGTCCCTAGGTTTCATCTTGACTACAACATCCCAATCAGCTTCAACGGGATCATTAACATAGAAAACTTGTTGTGCCTAAGATGCTAGGATGAATGGCTCATCACTATTTTGTTTCTTTGTGTATAACAAATGATTGAAATTAACAAGTGTGAAACCAAACCCATCCTGCCTCAGTCCTTTGTTGTTGTCAATCCAGTCGCACATGAATAGCACATATCTACGGTCGTATGAGTAATACAATTCAATAATATCTGTCACGTATCCATAGTATACTGCTTCACCTTCCACAGGATTCATGTCTTTGGTACTTGCATAGCTACAAGTCTTTGCTTTCACCATAACCCTACTATTTTGAGTTTTTCTTCTCCACTCACGACTCCTCGTATGATACTTAGTACCATTAATTATATACCCATTGAATCTCATGGCCTTTTTACCAGATCCTAATGCCAAAGTTTTAATCTCATCTGACAACACAGCATTTTTCAATAGCTAGAAGCTATTCAACCTATTTTTACAAAGTCAACAAAATTAAACATCAACTAACAGAGAATTAAAAATTGAAAACATGAGAATTGAAAATTGAAAACATGTAAGTTATTAGTACTTACATGAGAATTAAACCATCTAGGAAACTCATCATTGTGACGGCGATCCACATCAAAATCTTTGAGACGACAATGTGACCGCTTAATAAAATCACGATGCTCCCTATACATTTAAAGTACTTACAAAATGCAAGATACTTATTAATGGTATCAATAAAATTTTGAAACAAAGATTGTATCTTACTCTCGATATGGGACAACCGCAGTAGTGTTAAATAACACATACCGATGAGCTTGTACCCATGATGTGTTATCAAGCGCAAACCTTTTTCCTTTTCCTAAAGCATGACCCAGTAATATCCCAGGATTGTTGCTAACATCGTAATTCCTTATTGGTCGATTCAATTTTGACTCAACATCATCCAAGTACTTTGAGCAAAAGGTCAAACACTCTTCAACTAAGTATCCCTCTGCAATTGAACCTTCTGGATGACTTCGATTATGCATATGTGACTTAAGTGTCATAAGATACCTATAAACAAACAAATGCACACATGACTTTCAATTATAAACAAACAAATGACTACAACCTTAAATTGGAGTAGAATTGCACACCTTCCTATGAAGTATATCCAGCGATATTGCACTGGACCAGCAATCTTGGCATCCTTGTAGACGCACCCGCGTGAGGCCTTCGTGCTACAATTCGGACTCAATTTGTCATGGTCCTTAATTTGAACCAAAGAGTCCAAATCCGGCAAATCATTTTGAGAAAACAGATTTTGAAAAAGAAGTGCCAAACATGGACTGCTTTGCCAGATACAGAGTCGCCACCTAAATATTTTGTATGGGGGAATTTAGGAAACCCTGACTCTGTGCCACAGGCCACGTGTCCGTCATCACCAAAGTTGCCTCGGCTCGGGAGCTTGGGTACGATTAGGGAAGGTTAGCTATGAGTACCCCCTCTCACCCGATCCGAAGATCGGCCTCTATTAACCGTGATATCTGTTTTTTGAAAACGTTATGTGTTCTTATTCTGATTATTAGCCTAGAATTACCATGTCATGCGCACAACAAACAAGTATAGACCAAATCGCCTAGGTTGGAACGAAACATTGCATATCCGTTTGTTCGGAAAACAATTTGAAATTTGCTACTCATAAGTAGGCTAAAAAACATGGATTTCAATGAGTTGTTCCAACTCAAACAATCCAACCTTCACCCACAGGCATTCAAGCAGTCATATCATGTAAACATATAGCCGCATGGCAAGCATACTGTCATGTTAACATTCACACTCATGCGAGATGCTAAAGCATAAATACTTACATCATACTACGTGCCAAAACAAAGAACTCATTAGCAATCAATGCATGATCCAAGTCCATGTTTAAATGCCTAATGCAACGCATACAGAATGTCACTAGAGCAGGCTCGGGTAGTCTATGAATGACATGTGAAAATGCACAGGTAGCATGTATTCAAGTTAGATTTGAAATACTAATGCTGTTAGCATGATGCGCCGAGCCCGGTGTATGCAATACTGATGAATGATGCACGCATGCATAGCATAAGGTATGCTAAATTAAACATAACCTATTACTAACCATCAAAGCAGGTAAGTAAAAGGGAGAAAGAAGTGGGGGTTGGAAGACATGCGCACACTCACCCACACTTATTATAAATTCTCCCTCGCTCGGAGGGATCGAAAGAATAATACAAATTAACTAACTCGCAAGCTAATTAATTATTACAAATTACCTAATTAATTAACAAATTAACTAAGCTAAGAAAAGCAATAAAAAGGGGCCTCGGGAAGAGGGTCCAATGCACGCATGCTCGGATCTTGCTCGGAAGTCTAGTGCTATGCACAAGCCGCCTCTCTTTTCCCTACTCTGCTTCTCTGAAGACTGCCAAAGTCTCAGGGTGTGCTCACTGGATGTTGGGGAATGCCACCGGCTGGAGGGAATCATCATCGGCTGTGATTTGGTGTCGATCGGCCAAAAATGAATCCATCGGCCACAGATGGATTGCCGGTCGGCACTCTATG